GTCGAGCCAACTGGCACCCGGGCACTTGGCAAGAATGATGCAATTAACCAATAAACACGTTTTCCAACGAGACTGCACGCATACGCGCACGCAACCCTTCGACAAGCCACGCTTGTTCGAGGCGCACGCATCGTCGCGAGAAGTCACGTTCCGTGCTCCGCGTTGCATTCCACCGTTCGTCCGCCATCAGTGATCGCGTTCCCGCTTCGACCGTCGATCCTCTTGCGAGCGAGCCTCGGAAGACATAGTTTTTTACTTCGCTAGTCGATGGTCGCGCCACCTGAACCCGATTGAACCGCCTCGAGTACGCTACAATACGTCTTGATCGGCGTGAATTCTCCTGATCCATAAAGGCTCTCCCGTCGAATGCTTTCACGAAGCAGGAAATTTGATACAGCTCCGCGAGGTCGCGAAAGGAAGGTTAATGCGAGCCATGCAACGATTAGCCGCAAGTATCTTTATTCTGTAACGATACGTATACGTATACGCTGACGACAATTAACTAGCGTATTCTATGCGTATCGCGACGAGTTAACCCGTCGTGTCCACGGTACGTACGAAAGGACTGGAGCCGCGAAGTTTCATTAAAATCGAGAGAGGTTAGGGTGGCGCTTCGTGGACGAAAAGTTTAATGTAGACCACGTCGCAGGTAATCACAGGTCGAAATCACGTGTTTGTTTCATAGGAGTGTGTTTCGCGAACCTGTCTTAATGCCAGAGACCCTAAAATGGAACGGGCGCAACGATATCGAATTTTCTACAAAGCTGTGGAGGTTCGGAACTGGGTTACTGCGTTTAACAGCCAGACGTCTGCTAAGTTCTACCTTTCTCCAAAATTAAAGCTGCAAAGATCAGGCGAAGTAAAACGGACTGTATTTTCAGTCATCGGACTTAATTTGAAATAAAATTTTTAAACGTATAATAAAAGCATCGTACTGATAAACCTCTACATAAAAATTAACGAGTACAAATAATATTACGAATATGAATCTAGTTTTCGAAAAATGTACGGCGCTGATTGTATGTCATGATAAAAATAACACGATACGTTTGTAGTCGCACGACGTCGACACTGAAATGTTGTTAACGAGTAAAAATTTAAAATAAAAACTTGTTAAACTAACAAGAAGGTATTCGTTTAGGTAGACGTGTTGAACTCGAAATTTTTATTTGCTAACAACATTCCATTATTGATTTTGTTAAAATACAAACTCTTCGTCGCAACATACGTGTGCTCATTTACACATATTATTTTCATGTAAACTGTTATTAAAAGTCGTACCGTATCAAATCAGACATATTTTTATTTTCTCGTGCTCTTTGCAGTGCAAAACGATATAAAGAAATTCATCTTAGGCGTGTAAAAGTAGAGGATTTACATTCTTGCACGAAATTACAATATTTTAAATATTGACAACGTTTCGATCAGATGCCCTAATACTTACGCCCGGCAGTGTACGTATAAAAAAACATGTTATTCTACACATCGTTCCTTTGTATATTTACTAATCTGGCGTTTTTGCGTTTGTACGTGTCGCAATTAATAAACACACATTCTGTTTAGACGCAAAATTCAACGCATTCAATTTTCCGACAAGCACGGACTTGGATCGAAGACAAAGAACGTGAGAAAAAACTACTTTTCTTTTGGCTAATTAAATGGGGTTGGATGCGCCAGAGTCACGCAATATGCCGTTTGTAACCTTACATCCTCAAATCGCGCTAGCATTATTACGCGGACCGTGCAATCGTTTTGATATTCAGCGATCAATTTCTGTCCGACAAACTGGCCGAACAATAGAGCGATGCAAATAAATAGCTGTCCGTAGGTATTCCGTTGGCATTAATAAAGCATGCGTTGACAAACACCCATGCTAAACAAACTATAAACATCGATGATCCTAAATATTTATCATTGTCATTGATAAACGGAAATCGGTTTCAACTGTTTAAATAGGGACACGCACGAACGAGAACGATCGATATGCTCGTGGCGTTTCTGGAAAAAGGCGTATTAACGAAACGATCGTTGTCGACGAAATTACAGAGCCGAAGTATCGTGCACAGCTTTAAGGAAATAGTTGCAAAAAGAGGGAAAAAGTTGGTCGCTAAAACGCTGGGCAAATACGATAAACGGGGAGATATGTTTGAGAAACGTCAACCGTTCGTCAAAGTCGACAGTGTAAAATGCAACGTTAACTTCGTTTTGTTTGCGACAGAAGGCAACCGGTTTTTACGCGATTTGCCGAGGCTCGCGTTACGTTCGAACGCGACGACAAAAAAGTAGAAGTTGAAAAGGAAAATAAAAGTGAAAAAGAAAGGAAAAAAAAAAAATTATCGCTCGCTTAATGTGACGTGCGCGTAATATTCGGTGAAGCGTCCTATTTTTGTCCGGGCTTATCCGGTTAAATGCTTCGTCGATATGTCAGGAGATAGCGAGCAAGGAATTCATATCGAGCGTTCCAGTTCGATGACAAGCGATGACGTGTTCCTTTCCAGCTTTCGCGATTCGAATTTATGCGGCGGATTTCTGTGTCTTGTATTACAGTAAACGGTTTCGTGCTTTACATACTCTAAGCGAATGTGCCTGCCATTACTAAGTACTCTTGGAATGGTAATTAATCTCGTACCAGTAATTATACAAATTGTAATTATACGTTTGTTTCGAGATCCAATGATTTTCTATTATGAGACTTAAACACCTGTAGAAAGTAATATTGTTGCATTTTATACGAGATTTATTAATCTTAACATCTAATTTTGTCGATCGTGATAGATTTTTAAATATACGATTGTACTTACATTAATGCGAAACAAACTATTATTATTCAGTGCGCGCGATAGGTACAGTGTCTATCTAGAGCCTACAAAAATTCAAGAAGCCAATAGAAAGCAACGGATCTCGATAAACCTTTGAATACATTCTAAAATAAATTTTTATTACGTTAAATTAAAATATATTACCTTGTTCTGGTTTTTATTCAAAAACTGAACCACTGAAAATGTTACTTTCGTTTGGTCTTTCGGAATTCTCGACGGCAAAACGCTCAAGTTTGTTAGCGGTGTAATTTCCATTTTTTATACTAGATGGCGCCACCAAATTCTACCTACCGTCACTGCAGATACTTATTTACATTAAAAATCTGTGAAATAAGTTTTAAACTATCTACGATAGATTAAGAATATTATTTAGTTTAGTTGATCTTTATAGTTCAGCTTTGTTTCAGTTATGGTAAAGCGAATACCTATGTAATATTTCAAAAAAGCATTAATTTGTCTAAGAAATTGCGTTAATGCAAATCTTAGCCGTCAGTCATGCTTGACGGTGAAATATACTAGTCTACTGTAATATTCTCGACAGCCCGCGGCCATCAACGAAAAATGATTTACGTTCTACGTGCTATCTGCGTTACGATCGGCTCAAATTACAATCGGTAAACCGCGTTCGCGCGCGTTGGTCAGCCACGGTGTCATTAGCGAGCCTCCGTAATTTCTTCTTCCATTTGCCCGTTACGTATGTAGACGCGGCGAGACGAGCCGCGAAATTTCGTGACGAACACAGCTCGCGTGTCACCGCTCGTTAAAACTGCTCACCCCGCCCGTCGCTCCACTTTGTTCCCCGTGTCCTAGAAGCTAACCCCCACTTCCACTTTACTTCTTCGTTCCTGCTAAATAACGCTAAGATTAAGTGTCACCGGGCCGAGCTCGGCAAGGGTAAAGCGATAATAATTGTTTGTAGAGAGTCGAGGCGGAAAGGTCGCCGATGGTTACCACCCCATCCAAAGGGGATGTATACACGCCTGCAACCGGTACGAATACACGTGTGTAAAGTATACACGGTAATACGTTGAATATAGACGCGCTCGAGTACGAGTCACTGGGACGAAAAGAGGCCTGAAGAAGGATCGTGGTGGGGCGAGAAGGAAAGACGGAGGAGGGGAAAGGATACCCTATGTGTGTTTTCGAGGGGAGAGAAGGGCGTGGTACACTGGCAAGTACGGGGTCGTGGACGAAACGGACGGGCGGCTGAGATAGCGAGAACGAAAATGAGAGAAACTAAACAAGCGTGACAAGGATGACAGATGACCGGAGGGAGACTGAACTCCAATCTGAAAGATTCGTGGCTGCGAATGGGACGAAAGTAAACCGACCGAAACGTGCAGACCGTGGCAGAAGGCACTGCGATTGTAGCGGAAAGGTCTGAAACGACACGGGCGAGGGATTACAGGGGAAAAGTACGCGCCGTAGGGAAAACGAATTTATTCGTTGCTGTGTTTACGCGCGCTCCCTACGCTGTTCGACGTTTTTTCGTATCCGCGGGCACGACACGGAACCGGTGGCAATGATTTTATTCTCGCCCCTGTCGCGGCCGATATGTTGTTGAAACGCGAATCGCACGGTAATCGACAGAAACGGGAGATAATTATTTCAAAATTATTCGTGGTCACGAGCGCGCTACGGTTTAATTTAATAAAAGGCTTCGAAAGATTCGCGAAGCCGTTCGTTATGAAGCGATCAATTCTGCGTGTAATGAAGAGGAAGGTTAACACGGGTTTTCCGGGACACGTTAGCGATGTTCAGCGTGTCCCGGAGTAATAATTTAATACGCGCCGTGTAATGCTGCTATAAACTCACCGCAGGATCTACCGCGCAAATCTCGTTTTTGCGTACGTAAAAATGCAAAGCGGATCGCGACGAGAACGGATTCCCGTCTCGCTGAAACGTACGAGCACATACGGAGCGGACGGAAAAGAGACGAACGAGCTAAGAGCCCGATTGTCGGAGGTGCGCGCTCAAGAGAGGGAAACGGCGAGCAAGAAGAGGATAGAGAACGAGCGAGCGAACGAGCGTGCGACAGAGAGAGGAAAAGCAAGCGAGGGGAGACCACGTGGTGTCACGGTTAGCAGTGGGAGGGCGTAGCGGGCGACGGTGCGGGAGAAGGAGAGGGAAGAGCTTCCCCTCGACTCTGCGGTTGATTAGTTGATACCCGTCCGTCGTCGAGGGTGGATCGTTCAACCGATGTCTTGTTTTATGTGTCGTCGCGTATTCACATCGTGTAACTCTAACGTGATTCAACGTCGCTGCGCATTCCCATTGTATCCCGTGAACCGTGCGTCGCTTTTCCTCTCGGTGTCTCTTTGTGAAACGAGTACAAAGCGAGTGGCCGGAGGACTCGAAGAAAGTGACCAGTGCAAGTGTGCGTGCGCGTCGACTGTAGCCCGTCTTGTGTTTTCGTTTTTTTCTCTCCGTTTTTCTTTTCCGAGAGCAGTGAATAATAGTGCGTACAGGCTATGACCTGGGATACCGCTGGATATACCTGAGGATAACGGAGACATATCCATTACTCCTGACAGGACTTCGTCGTGACGGGAGGGAGCAACATAACCTCTTTGAGGGCTCTCTGACGATAAGATGTACCCCACTGCCGGTATAAACGCAGCGGCAGCTGTGGCAGCTGCGGCACGGCACCCGGTAAGTGGTTTTATTTCTTTTTCTTCTGGTCGAACTTTTTTTCTCTCTCTCTCCCTGCGTACACGCCTGACAGGAATGACTGGCACGACTTGGCGATAAAAATAAAATATAGAAAAAGATTCGGAGCATTGAGACATCTCGCAGCGAGTTTACGAGGCGAACATTTTTAGTTTCGCGTTTAATCGCGCTGAGGCGTGTAATTCGGTTCGACATGGCCGATACGACTGACGGACTTAACGTGCTGTGTGTTGCAAAATTGTGCTCCTAATCACCCGAACTAGATTTTAAACGATCATAAAGCGAACGTAACGACTGTTTCGGTTATTGATCACAACGACAGTCGTATCGTTTGCTTGGTAATTGCGCGTCACGAAAAAAGCTGTTTTTCTATGACTCGCGAACGAAATCGTTTTTTTCTCCTATTTTTTACCCGATCGAACCGTTTATCAAGCACGTTTTTACTTATCGAGGAATTGTACACAAGCCAGACGAGACTACTTAACGCACGCCGTTGACCTCGCTTCATTTTGCTGTCAATAGCTGACGATTACCGGTACAAAGCAACCGTGAAAATATTCAGATCGCTCGCAAGATATGAGTAACATTGTCGTGTACTCGTGTAGCCGGCGTTTCCCTGACATTGCCGTGCACGCGGGCCGACGTAGGTACAGTGGCGAACAAAACTATAAGCACAAGCCAAGAATTTCTTTAAGAATAATTCTTTGTAGATAATGTAGTTTTGAATCTACAATTTAAATATGCAATAACGACTGTGCAATGAAAAGGAGTACATAGTAAAATAAATTGTATATATTCGGTACAGCCGTTTGTTCGAACAAGTGTGGTTGCACAGGCAAAAAATGTGTTTCTGTTTTAGAAAATTCTACATTAAATTTTTAAAATATCATCGCGTATTTTATGTTCAAAGATCACCTAGAATTCATTGTGTCGTTTGTTCCTCGCGTTTCGATAGAAAGAAGTAGAAAGTCGTTAAAATGAAACACAAAATAAAAGGGAAAACAGTTTTTGAAAGAAAGATTGTGATGTTTTTTCGTAAATTCAGGCTCTACTTTTGTTCACCGAAAGTAACATGGTATTTTCTCAATTATTATTTTCTACTTCTACTAATTGTGATCAATGATATTCGTATCTGAAAAATAAGTAGGTTTGATACAATGTGTCCTGTATTAAAAGAAAGTCGCAATTCAACGACGTAGGCCGTTTCTCATTATTTTTCATCAAATTATCTTTTTCAATATTGGGTTAAAACCATTATTACACCGCTACCCTCGTATTACCAGTTGATTGGAGATTCTTATGATGTAATTTAATAATTGACTTTCTCCGAATCAAAACTCTGTCGTCTAATTGGAAAAGAGCAAATTTACTTTCAACAAAATCGATTACTTTTATTTCGATACTCTTTTGCAAATTCGATCTTTCTCTTTCGATTTTTTCGCTTTATAGAGTGCTATAGAATGAACTTTGAAATATGCCTTTAATGTGTTTCTACGGTAATTACCGATGGTCATATTGAGGATTCCCTATTGTGCTATTTTATATTTATACCACAAGAGGGCAGCGTTAGAAACAACATTTTCGACATAATACATGCTCGAGTTGTGTCATATCCGATTAGGAAAGTGTAAATTTCGTTAGATAATAAAATATAAATTTCCTTGCGCCAAAGTTAACGTTGTCTTATTGCGTTCTAGCACGAGGTAATAAAGTTATATCATGGCGAAAATTAAATGTTTACGATGGATTTCTTCCACGTCTGTAACTAGTTTTATTCCAAGAATCTTTTCTTTGCCAGTACATACATACATACACACGTTCGTCCCTGCAGTTGTTCTGGACATAATACAAACCGGTGAAATTAAATTCAACCTTCCTCGACGAGCTACCAATTTAAATGGCACGCTGGCAAGAAATAAGGTTGCGAAAATTGCACCTGGTAACCCATCGTCGTGCGATTCTTTTTCTCCGCCCTCCTTGCAATTCATCGTCTCCGTTCGGCGTCGGATATCGAATACGCATCGTGTGTACCCTCGCGTTCGAAAATCCTTTCAATTGTGAGCGCACTTTCGATAAGTATCGTTCGTTGCAGTACCGGTCGAGTCTCTCTGTCCATGCTAATTCGAGTTATACCGATATCGACCGGCGCGGATGCCCAGCCATAGACTCACCCGTCAGATAGATCCGTAGTCCATAGTGCGTGTATGTGTTTCTTTTTTTTTTTTTTTTTTTTTTTTTATCATCGGCGTCACTCGAACGGAATAAAAAGGCAGACCTGAAAAGTACTGTCAGGGCTTTTTTTGCGAGCTGCGTTGGAACGGCAGGCGACGGCGACTTGCGCGCGCGTACCCGTGCGCCAGACGGACTCTTTCAGATCGTTAATCGAATGAATCCCGGTCCCGTATTTATTTTCTCTCGATAGTTTACCCACGTTCCGCGCGCAACCTCCCTCCCTCGCCGATCTTGGTGTCACTGCCGCGTTCCCACCGTTCCCTTCTTGTCGGCACACACGCGGCTGAAACTCCCGATGCGTGCGAGACAGTTTGCATAGGCGTCTGTGCGTTAAATTCCTGTTGCCACTCGATCTATTGTGTACGAAAGTTGACATGAATTCAATTTTTTTAAATTTCTTTTGGTTTTTTTTGTACCGCTGCATCGCCGCGGGTAGGAATTTAGAGAATTATCGTAGGAGGACAGCAAAAGAAAAGGAGGGGGCGCGTTTCGTCAGTAAGGCTTTCTAACAGGCCCTGCCTTAGACGACTGGGATATTTGGAAATCGGTTGCGGATTGTATATGCAGCAATCGAGGGATCGGTCGACCGCTTGTGAGAGCGCGACCCCTCTGGTGGCGAGCATGGGAGGCGACGCCACATTTTTTTTCTTTTTACTTTCTTCGTTTTTCATCCATTGCGCGTTACACGCGCGGTTGCAGCGGTGGCGCGGCAGACGGTCGGGAAACGAACGAACGAGCGAACGACCGCGGGGAGGCGAAAAGATCGCCGAACGTCGAATCGTCGACGAAATAATATTTGGCCGGCGAGCAAATTTTCATTCGGCCGTAAACAGGCCGCCAGACGACGCGGAAAAGCTCGTTGGAACGACGAAAATAAATCCATGTATCCGTGACCGCCAGCGGCCAATATCCGCGATTGCATTACACCTCGTACGTGCGGCATCGTATATAGACAAGAACGTGTACCGACGATTACCAACCGAGTAGACGAAAAAAAGGAGGATAGAAAAGGAAGTAAATCCCGGATAAGGAGGGACGCCTGTGTCGCTCGGAATTACCTGGAACTGCTGGAACACTTCCAATACAGTATCGGAAGTGGAACAGATTTCTTCGCTTCGAAAGCCCCGATTTAGCTGATCCATTTTTATTCGATGCGTTATCGTTCTTTATTTTATTCTCGCTACTCTTAACGTACGGATGCTTCTTAAGGGGTGAGTCTCATGTGAGACCTCAAATAAATGAATTTTTTTTTTTTATTTCATTTTTTGAAAGTATATATATTTAAGAATGTACTGTTATATTTTGATAGATAAATGTCAAGTATTGTGGATTGTAGAACATTTTTTTTATAGCCCTTACGGTAATTACCGGAGTTATTGCTTCGGGTGATTACCTTGTACAGCCCAGACATTACTGTTTCGAAAGGTTTACCACATGGTCAAGAGACATCTGATGTTTTTAAAAGTCAAAATTTTAGCGTTTGTGCCATCTCGGTGCCAATATTCTGGAAGGAATTCTATATGGAGCTGGGATTGATTAGTATGATCTTGCAGACTTTAAATGCGTTTCTTTCGAAACGTTACTTTCTTAACTGGCGTAGATAAAATTTCAAAAACTATTCGTTCGATCGCTTTGAAATTTTTACACGTTGTTCCACATACTAGTAGTTCTCACCCGTATCAAAATCAAATTGTTATAATGAGTTTATGATATTTGTTTTTATTAAAAAGTTGCGAAAGAAACGACGAAATTTTCGTAATTTTTACTTTAAGCTTTCACCATTTTGTCAATTTCCAACGTAAATTAATTATTTTGGTACGGACGATAACTGTAAACCTACCGAATAAAAATCTTTTTGATTTTTTTGATTTCGTCAACCTCAACAACATTAAAAGGTAATAAAAATTAATAAAAACATTATTTTGTATTCCCAAAGGATAGGTAACATTTCTTTAAAAAAAATTAAGAAAAATGGTTCAATTTTCTATCATTCACATGAGACTCCCCCCTTAACTTCGTGGGCGCGTTTCATCGTGGGATAATTCCTTTATAAACGAACAAGATTCTTTTTCTTATTATTGTTAAACGGCCGGTGTAATGTACATGTCAGAATACAAATCGTCGTACGAATGTCAGAATAGGTCGATGGAATTTATACAAATTTCTCATGCGAGCCATGTTTACTACTATACTTGTGGTCGTTGAAGGTGATGAATATTACTTGTATTAATTCTGTAGTCACTATTAATACTCCGTTTCAAAATATCGGTTGTTTCGGTTAATACAAGGTTGACATTGTTAAAAATGTACTATAGTATACTGTATTTATTATATCTTGTTCGAAAAATTTATTTAATTTCTGGTCACCCAGTTTCTGGTTGTACCACGAATTACGGCGGACGGAATATGTAGTCGTTTACGAGATTGTACGCGTTCGATATCAAATGATCGCTCGTGTCTACCTTGTCCTATCGTAAACGAATCTTCCGTTGAACTGTGCACGATCGGTAAGTAGTCGGGAGTTAACGCTTTCCATTTTATCGCGGTAATACGCGCCGTTTAGAGGCTTCCGTAATCGATAGGGGCTTATATAAAAATTTACCTCGAGGACATGGTCGACGGCGGTCGACTACGCGTACATCCCGTTGTCCCTTTGTCGTTGCTTTGACCAACCATATCTTAACTTTCCACGGTTTAATCCGGTAATCCTATTAACGTTGCTCGATCGTAAAATTCGAGCCTCTCTCTCT